AATAATATTTTGCCAAAATTAAGATTCACTAATAGGGTGTTAGTCAATGTGTTTGCATGTTTGCATTTCATTGATGACTCAAATGTCATTCTACCTCTATATCGCCGCTTCTAATAGTAAAGGAGATACTTAATATACGGCTTTCTGTCTATGTTGAGGACGATCTATGTTGAGGATGGGGTGGGTAGGGATGGGGGCTGAAAATTATTGAGTATGAACGCATGCGCGTATAGTTTATAAAAGTATAGCATAATTTTCAACCCCCATCCCTACCCACCCCATCCTCAACATAGATCGTCCTCAACATAGACAGAAAACCGTATGACTTCATATGCTTTTGACTTTGAAATAGGGTTGAAAATTCCTACTGGGAATTGTTCCCAGTAGGAAGATTCCTTGGAATATTCCCTAGGAAAATTGGGAATATATATTTATTCCCTTTGGGAACATTCCCTTGGGGGGCGAATTGGGGGCAAAATGGGGGTAAAATGTGGGGGTCGACACATTTTACTACTGGCGCCATCTGGTGAGTGAGCTTTTTGGGTGGTAACGTTCCGGGAATATTTCCACTGGGAATATTCCCAATTGGGAATATATTTTAAGTTCCGGGAATTTTTTCAACCGTACTTTGAAATGAGTTTTGAGAATTGCATCAGAAATTCATTGCAATTGAAGGCAAGTATTAAACACTGTTTTTCCGATTCCGGCATTCATTCAGTGAACGCACTTGTGATCAGTTATTGTGGGCTAACGCAGGCCTACACTATAATTGGCATTAAAATGTCTTTTCTAATCAAAAGACATAAAAAGTGTTCATTTATTGTCAGCAAATACTTGTGCAACAATTTGTGGTCATTTATAACAAGACATCACATCTCAAGACATTGGTTCTCAACCGGACGTCAGTTGTGGTCACAAACGGGTGATCATAACGAAGAGGTGGTCGAAGACAATGCCAAAGAAGTTGAGAGACATTTCGCCGATCTGTCGGTCAAACAGTTTGAATGTTTGGCCAAAACCGCGGATCAGATGAATGACATCGAAATGATATTGTCTTCGTATGAATACGCGAAGTATGAGACACAGGAAGTGCCCTCTAGTTTGACACTCAATCATATGAAACGACTGATGGCTCTGAAGAGCGCCGGCCGACGGAACAAGTATATGAACTTTCTGTACCGGATAGAGATCCAATCCATTGAATCCAAGAGATTGAGAGCCATTAGCAAGACATTGAAAGCGAAGGAATTGAGTGATAAGTGGATCCAATGGGGGGACAAACGGGTCGGTCTTTTCGATGATAACGGAGACATTGCTTACGGTATGAATAGACGGCATGTGTTGTCGATTGTCATGCATTAATCTCTTGTATTGTCTTTATATGCATCGATGGCTAGGTTTGTGGCGCAACAGTCTCTTCGGCAGAATATGTTCGGCAGATATACGCCGATATTCTGTCCATCGGTTGCAAAGCGCAGCCCTTTTTGGCCAAAATATTGTGTTTGATTTGAGTTGTGATCCGCAGATGAGTCAAACGAATTGCGCCAAGAAATTGAGACAATTAGTGAACGCCTATCACACAAATCGGTACTCATTTTCTCAACCCTTTAATTTGCATTTTGCAAACATTGACTATAAAAGTATGGTTTGGGATGCGGTTCAAGAGAACCAATTGGTGGCAAACTATCCGCACTTTTTGTCCGCATTTACCCCAAAGTCATACTTAGATCTGTTTGACAGAAAAGATTTGGTATATTTGTCGCCCAAAGCGGTCAGAGATCTGAAGTACGAGTCAAACAAAACATATATAATAGGTTTCGGCGACGAATACTCGAGGACTCGAACAGATTTGACTCGAGTTAAGGCATGGAATGAAAGGATCCCAATGAGAAGACTACCAATAGATCGGTACTGTTATTGGAGTAAAGGCTCCAAAGACTTGCGTTCTAGTGTTGTGCTCCGTATTCTCAATGATATGAGTGATGGCATCGGTTGGCAGAAAGCATTTGAACGAAATATTTCTGAATATTGCTTCAAAACCGAAGAGGAGATCGAAGCCGAAGAGTTATATCGTATGAATAAAATGCGAAAACGACTCAAATATCCTATTAATTATCGTAAATAATATCCAATGATTAATAAATAGTCAATTAATAATAATAATAATAATAATAATGTCTTTATTAATCAGAACTAAGTTGATTAAAATGGATACCGTACAATTAAGTTTAATACAAATCAATAGTCATAGCATTAAAGTGAACAGAAGTTCATTAAAAAATTGGACACAAAGTGATGTCAAAGAAGTGATTGACGTCAGAGAAGAGGACATCGAGAAGATTGATATCATTAAAGACGTTGCGGTTGTCGTGAGACTCAAGAATGGAAAACAACAGGAAATTAAAGATAAAACCATTAATTAATTATAAAATTAGTCTTTAGTTATTGTGTAATAAATTGAATTATTATTTAATTGTGAGAATTATTTACTGAAAACACTATTATTTGGATACAAAAGTTAAGGTGAATGAGAAGATGACAATGATTTGGGCAACGGATCCGACATTCTTCTCAAACGCGTCTCTTTTGTGTACTTATATACAGAACTGTGAAATGAAAGCAACAATTGTTGTGACAAATGATTGAATTCATGGTTAAGACAAACCATTGTTGCCGCGGATGAAAGCGTCGCCGTATTTATTCTTGAGCTGTCGGTTGACGTACTCTTCCGTTCCAACGCTATGTTCATATAGCCGTCCAAACTATAGTTATTTACAGTAATTGTTGATTGGTTTATATTATTGATACAATATTGATTATTAATGTACACTACTGACCACTACTCCTACACTTTGTTATGTTATTCAATCACTTCGAGTAAATACAATACTATACACAAATAACATTTATTTGTAAATTTCAATTAACACAACTCACAATTTATATTACAATATATGGCATTTCATTGACTGTAGATGATATGATACAATTTAAGTTTTCTATGTAAAATAAAGTTTCAAATCTATTTATTATTTTTATGTTTGCAATATACTGTATGACCCAAACTATGCTTACTTAAACTATTAATACTGATATTAATTCAATACAATACTGATTAGTAATCAGTGATTACATTGTGATATAAATATCATAATATTCTTACACATTATAATATAATATTATTTCTCTAATATACATATATTTCTTCAAAATATTATTTTAATGCCGTTTTATAGTCACTTGAATAACATTTATTTAACAGTTACTTGACTTAATATTAGGTCCGTCAAAAAAATCGCGCGCCTCGACAATCGTTATATCTCTTAAACGGAATGAGCTAGATCAATTCTGTAAAATGTAAAACAAAGTTCCACATGTCTAGTTTTTTGTATCAAAAAATTATTAAAATCACGTGACTAAAACATAAACATTTTTGGGTCATTTCGAAATGCTATGGTTTTAGCCCAGTTGAAAGGGGGGTCGGAAGGGGGCGGGTATGGGGTTGGGTAGATGAGATGTGAATGTATATGATATGAAAGCTTGATAAACATCGAATAAGTATTCTTTCGTTGCGAACAAAATATACAATAAATTTGGCTCAATATTTGGACAAAAATAGCCCAATTTTGACCTTTTAATACTACATTTTTGTTGTTATAAAAGGTCGACTTCAGAACCATTTTTCCCCATAGACCTAATGTTAAGAAAATTGAAAATTTCTTGTCAATGGCTGGACTAATCTGAATCAAACTTTGCTATCATTGACTTTGACACCTCCTCTTCAAAATAGCATACCCACCCCCTTCCGACCCCCCTGTCAACTGGGCTAAAACCATAGCATTTCGAAATGACCCAAAAATTTTTATGTTCTAGTCACGTGATTTTAATAATTTTTTGATACAAAAAACTAGACATGTGGACCTTTGTTTTACATTTTACAGATTTGATCTAGCTCATTCCGTTTGAGAGATATAACGATTTTCGAGGCGCGCGATTTTTTTGACGGACTGGATAATATGGAATCTACATCACCAGAATTTACATTGTAGATTCTGGTAATCATAAAGTATTGCTAATAATTGGCAACAGTTACGGTAACTGTAATAACCTGTTCACACATAAGAGCTCATATAATAATATTGGATTAAATGGAAACCTAGTTCCTTGAAGGTGAAGGAGTTTAGCTAAAATTCTGAAATTAGTTTCATAATTTCAGTTGACATCTTTAGGCACCAGAATCCAAGTTTCATCAAGATCGGGTGAATACTTTTTGAAAAGGAATTTTTCAAAGTTAGTCACTCATTTTAATGTATTCCTATGGAAAGGGGTCCGTTTTTGTGTTTACCAATGGTAAAATCATAGTTAAATTAATCATGCTTAAATACTAATCGAGATAATTCAAAACCCCTCCTCTTCTGAAACCTTTATTATTCAATGCATACAACGATATGCTATTCATTGGCCAACATTGACCGCTACCCCAACTGTGGCCACAGTTGGGGTAGCGGTCAATGTTGGCCAATGAATAGCATATCGTTGTATGCATTGAATAATAAAGGTTTCAGAAGAGGAGGGGTTTTGAATTATCTCGATTAGTATTTAAGCATGATTNCAAATATTTCATTTGTATTCTTTGCAAACTTTTCTTGAAATTTATTATTAAGTTTGAAATCAGTTTGATTTTGTTCATCAAATTCGTCGTTTAGTACACCATTTGAATTGAAGTTAATGTTCACAATAACTGTATTCATGTGACTGTTTATCTCATCATTGGTTAGTATTGTTCCCTCCAATTGATGGCCAGTTTTAAACCGATTGATTGCATTCAGATTCACTTCCATTGATTCAAACGAAATATCATTTGATTTTGGACTCAATTTTGGAGATTCTGTTTACAATATTTATGAAATTAATAAGTATTTATGGGATTTATATCTATTTATATGATGCAATAGTATTTTCAAAATACAGTATTAATATTTACCATTAATATTACCATTATTATAAGAAATTGGAGAATTGATCTCTTGTTTGCCAGTTAACCAAAACGACTTCATTTCTCCCTTACCCTAAAATATGTATACAATTAGCAAATTTTAAATAACAATTATAATATGTTTAATACCTTAATAGAAATAACTCCTCGTTCTTGAATGATATAACCTCCGAGTTTGTCCAGAATTGTCTTACAGGCTTCGCTCACATGTATTCTCAATGCTTAACATTTCAAATACAATTATAGCATTGATTTTGATAATTATAAAAGTTATTCATTTTAAAACAACTCACGAATTCCTGTCGATTCCATTCTATTGCAAATAAATAATTATTATTCGCATTAAAAATATCATTAGTTATAAAATAATACCTTGATGCTGTGTTGACAGTGTCACCTTCATTTGGCATAATTATTATAAATAGGTATTATTTAATATTCAATAAGTATAAAAGCAATGTATTAATTACCAAACAGACAATATCGAGGCATTTTGAGGCCCACGACTCCGGCAACACACGGACCCGAATGGATACCAATCCTAAGTTTGAGTCTTTCGCCGCTTCGGTGTTTGATCTCAAAGTTTTGTATTGCACTCAACAAATGCAATGCCATTGACGCCACTTCTCCCGCGTGTTTGTCATTATTACGGATCGGAAGTCCGCTCACAACCTGTCCATTCATTTATTACAACGGTGTTTGATCTCAAAGTTTTGTATTGCACTCAACAAATGCAATGCCATTGACGCCACTTCTCCCGCGTGTTTGTCATTATTACGGATCGGAAGTCCGCTCACAACCTGTCCATTCATTTATTATATTTGATCAATAATGACATAACATTTGGACGGATCATACCATATAGGCGTCGCCTATTGTCTCCACTTTATAGACGTCATAATTACCGATAATTTCATCAAATAAAGTATACAATTCATTCAACAATGAAATTATTTGTAAGGGAGTGCTCGTAGCCGACAAAGTGGTAAACCCGACGATATCGCTGAAGTAAATGGTTACGCATTCAAAGCACTCGGCCTCAACTGCAGCGCCTCTTTTAAGCTGTTCCGCCACTGATCTGAATGACAATAAATGACAAATTATGTTAAATATGTTTAATTTTATAAAATACTAATCAAATGAAAGCTCAATACTTGGGAAGCATTCTTAATAATAATTTTTCAGTTTTCTTTTTTTCTTCAACCAATTGATTGGTCCTCTCCTGCACTAAACCCTCCAAATTGTACGCATATTTCTCTAACATTGTTATCATATTATCAAAAATGTTTGGTTTCCTAAAAATGTCAATCATTAGAATTATAAATATAATTGTTATAATTAATTAATAAGTGCTAACAATCCGGTTTGCATTTCTCTCAATCTTATATTAATGAATCTAAAGTCTGGTCTGGAGTCGGGATTTTCGTGCCAACACTCTTCAATCTAGTGTTTTATATATTAAACAATTAATATATGGTTT